AATTTAAAAACATTTATATACACATTTTATTTGATGTATTATGCATTTAATATATTAATGTAAATTGTCACAATTTTAAATTTAAGCTCACCCATCAACATTATTACTACGATATCAACCCATAACGCATTATTAAAAAAATATTTCATCTAAAATTTTTTTTTGGGGGGGGGGCTTAAGCTCAAAAACGCACACCCTGGATACGTCACTGACATCTGTATAATACCATTATTGTTTTTTAAATATAACAATATTTATTTGTGTGTCTGGTAAAACCAGATAAGTATTTGAAACAGCAATATTTATCGTTGTTCAGGTCATCAGATATCAATTAATCACTTATTGTATTAAGCTGTATAATAATTATTATACAGACCATTATAAATATATGGCGCAGACAATTTTATAGGATTATATATAGGATTAAGATACAGGTTTAGTAAATCTGGGTAGCATCATGATAAAATTTCCAAAAGAAAGACAATTTTGAATTCTTGTTGCTTAGTATATTATTGTATAATAAGTAATTGAATTTGGTGCAATTAGGTGGATTAAATGTTTCATTTTTTGTTCAATATCATATTATTGAGGGTGCTTCATTAAAAATTAACCCATGACAGCCATGTAGCTATATTGCCTATTCATATCGCCGTGTTACTAAAATTGTATTATTCAAAAGTAGAAAATAAAAATTAGTATCTAATTGGTGCCTGGTGTGGTACGACGGTTGRCCGCAGTCACTAATGTGTGTTGCGGACAAGCATTGTCCGGCATCAATAGTTTCCGGATGGGTGACCACTCGAGTTTTAGTTTTAGGACAAATCCTTATCCCACTTACATGTGTTCCTTAACCAACGTAATCCCCTGCTAAATATTAATGAAAATTTTTGACGATGATTAAGTTAAAAAAAATAAAAAATAATATCTGAAGTCTTWGCAAACAGTGATTAGAAATATTATTATATAATTAACGTTTATCTTTGCTTAAATGTGATTCATTTAAATGAAAGGTACTAAAAGAACAACATTTCAAGAAAAATTGTTTATAATCAAACGAAATATACACATGGACTATTATTATACTGACGTCATATGAAATTATTCACCATTTTCTTGTTAATTAATTAATTTATTTTTATTGATTATAAGAGGTTTGCATCTATGGCCATTAGCTGTTTGTAATGGGGATGGTGGTTTTGGAAAATGTAATGTATTTGTGGCAAGAATTTATTACTTAAAACCCGGGTGGTAACCCATCCGGTAGTTAGTAACACCGGCCGGTGCGTACACTCAGAGTGTTTTCGCAGTTGAACATAAAATCGCGCTACACCAAGCCACCAACTTCTTTTTAATTCATGTTTAAAATTGTATACTTAAAATTTGTGTGAAACAAAATTTTTAGAAATATATTAAAATAATTAAAACTTTTTCTCTTCAATATTAAATAAATGTAACGACAATTGTCGTGTATAGGCCGATTTGGAATTACAGATTTGTCGATTATAGTGATTATACCAATTAGTTAAATTATCAATTATATAGGTGTTATACATAAAAATTAAAATATTTTAATTATAATATATAAAATATAATATAATAATAATATGGAAAAGTAAATAAGAAACCTGTAAATAAGAATATAGATAAACAGAAACGATTTGAGATCAAAAAAAGAAAAGTTGAATTATTCAGTAGTAGAATAGAATATAATGAAATAAAATATCTGAAGGAAGGGTTGGTATTGGGAGAAGTACAAAACAACATACCTAATTCCTTCGATCATACTTATTAGTAACTTATTAACTACAAACTTTAGTAATATCCTTAATATATTTCAAATATTAAAATACTTAGGTACTTTTTTAATTACCTATGGTTTATTTTAATTTTACTGTTACTATACTATAGTTGGGTCTCATTTTTAGATAACGTGGTTTAGAATATTTATCCAAACAGTGAAGAATTATTCATAACTTGATACTCTTTTACAGATGMATCACGAATCATCAAGTAATTTTATTTATTTTACCTAAAGTTAAACCACATTAAAAATAAACATTTATGTTGATGTTTATTACACAGAAATAGTTGAAAATAAAATAAAAATTAATTTTTCAATATACAATCATAATATTCAGATTTTGAAGAGTCAATATTGTTACAGTTCTATTTAGTTTTGTATAACAGTTTTATTATGCTTTTGAGATTTTTTTTTGCCTGCCAACTAAAAATATATTATCATTGGTCATAAAAATACAGATACATCATCTGTGTTCGATTTTTTTCTCCCTTGTGTATAAAATAAAAGGTTACCATAGTGTATGGGCAACAAGACTCAAGGATAAAACTGACAATGACAAATACGTTGTGTTGAACATGTAGAGATAAAAGTATAAAACGACGACAAAACGTGTTCTCGAGAAAATTTAAATCCTGTGAATCGCGAATTCTGAGTAAGCCATCGGAGTTTTTATGCTAGAGTAAAAAATAAAATAAAAAAAGATTGTCATTCGATAAGACTGAAGAAACTTATCGAAGAATCATGGACGGGTGTACTATAACGATAAAATTTGCAACGGGTGAAATGTTAAAACATAGGTATTATCATGTATAAATCTATTGAATGATGTCTTATTCTATCTTGGTGTCGACCATATACATTTATTATCAAACGCACTCGACAATGTTACTTGTTAGCACAATAAGATAATACAGTGAAACGCGCGGAATCATGTAATCATTGATCGATGGCCAAAACGAATCGTCTGAATACATTTACTTATACACGTTCGTATTATAGACCAAAAAATAAAAAATAAAAAACTTAATGGAATAAATYATATTTGAAATGAATCGTTGTTCTAATTTTGGTTTTTGGTGTGATAATATGGTATAGATAGTATTATGAGACAATAGGCAAAACGGTTTGAGCTTAGATTTCGAGAATCATAGAAAAAAAATTATAAATTTAATAGGTAAAATATGTTTATTAGTTATTACTATTATTACCTAACTTAAGTATTAATATATTATRCTATTATATCAACTATCAATCATATAATTTGATACACCTGTTGTAGCATTGTAGAKATGCAACCTTGAGCTTCGAGAATACTGTTGTTATGTTAATTAAGTTACAGTGTAAAAATCAAACGAATTCGTCCCTTTAACATCAGGATGATAACAAAAATATAATACATATAAAGATATAAATATTATTTTTATATCCTCGCTTAATTTGACTGAAATTACTTAACCAGACGTCCGGACGCTCTGTTACGTATATTTTATTAAATAATATTATATATATGCTGTGCAGATTATTTTATATTACGTTATCGCTATTCCGTTGTGACTGTGTTTATGTATGTCTGTGAGCAGGTGACTTGGTACGCTATTGCTATCGATTGAAGTTTTAACATTTTCACGGCGACCACGGGGWTATGCGCCGGAAGAGTGGGTGGGTGGATRGGTGTGGGGGTGAAACGAAGGTTGTGTGACAGGAATTGGCAAACGAACTGCACGCAAGACGATCGTAAAAAAGACGCCGGCGCGACGACGACGACCGGTTCTCGTCTCGCCGATTGGAGTAAGCGACTCTCACCGATCGAACAACGTCTCTTACAGAATTTTGAGTATGGGCAGTGGCAGCGGTGGCGACCGTATAAATGTTATTGTCAGTTGCTTCCACCCTCGCCTATTTGTGCATTTCGTATAATACGGCGTCGAAAACTGATGCAGGGGCGGATAATAGTTCTATCGTTATGTTTTTATACATGGGAGCCAAGAAATCGATGACCTTAAACAAACTACTAAAATAAAACGTAATAAGAGAGTGAAAAATAACAATCGTAATTTCGTATTGATTTTTTAAGCTAAATATTTTTACTACAGTAAGGAAAAGCAATGTGCCATATAATCTAAAAACAAATGCGTTTGCGTTAAAATCCATAAATTAAAATATAATATATTAAGTACTTTAACAATAAATTATGTCAGACGCTAACCCTTCAAAGTTTGAAATTTTAGTCTGTCTTTCGGTTTAATTTTTAAGATACCGGTCGTTTTATCAGCATGAATATTAAATACTTATATACGACAACGGACAAGTTAT